TTCTATCATTTGATTCATTCTGTATCCAAGCGCCAACATGAGTTATTGCTCTATTCCGGATTCGAATTTTTACAAACCCAACAGTTCTCCTGAAACCCTATTACATCAATTCTGTTCTTTCGTTGCAACTCTCCTGTTTAAGTGACTAAGTGTTTAAGTGGATCAGTGACTACGTTAATTTAGTGCAGCCATTAGCCGTATTTATTCAGTTGTCCCATTTTAATTCATATTACCACCAAGAAAAGGTGATCATCGAATAAAATAGTATAGACCATATCTCATTCAAATCTAATCAGCTATTCTGCTAATTAAGTGAATTAGCATGAAGCCCCCATACAAGAAAAAGAAACTGTATTCTAGAGAAAATATTCACACAGCTGAAAAAATAAACTCAACAAATTTATATTTTATCAGTGATAGAAACATTTAGAAAAATGTCAGTATTTTGCGAGTAAATTGCAAAAACGCGAAGCATCAACAGGTTTTCTTTAAATTTAATGTTAAAACGCTTTGTAGAGCTGGAATAGAACAAATATAAAATAATATAATAAAAATCGTTAAGAAGTTTTAACGGTTGTCGAGCAGATCGCGGGATACGGTTAGATTACCCAAATTAACATAATGTTTTATCAAATGGAAGAAACAAACCTTCCTGGGGAAAGGTATTCGCAATCATTTGATACACAGTTCTATTCAGGATGCATAGAAAAAAAAGTCAGTTCAATTAGATCACTTGGAGGGTTCGATTTAGGAAAGGCAAGTTTTGGTCTATGGGACTTATCGTTCGGTGGCCGACAGGCCAACAACGCTATCTAAACAGTAATCTCTTGCAACAGCAATAACCAATAACAGCAAATGGATTGCAAACTTAGTGACTATATAACGATTATTGACCGATGGTGGTTGGAAACGTACAACCAGAAATAATGGTCACATACCAGTCCATAGGTTTCACCTGATGCCGTGACACACATGACACCATGGGCCGACGACTACAGGAAGTCGCGAAGGACTAACAAAAAAAAAGTAAGGTTTCAGGAAATTTTGTTTTTTTACACATATAATATAGTATTATATCTCTAAGGAATACTGTTTTTACTGGAGATCAATATATGACATTGATTTATGAGAAGGAAGCAAAATGGTCCTGGCTTCGGGATAAATCTGTTCCTAGCACAACGTGTTTTATGAAATAATTCTCTACAGAAACTTGCCATTCTAAGTAAATAGTCGAGTTCACTCGAAACGAACAGCGGGAAATACGTCACATCATCGACGCGAAACTTCTAACACATCGCAGACTATTCATCTTCATATCTATGTAGTTTATCATTTTTTTTCATCAAAAAATTCATTCATCATCATCGCCGTCTTATATATTACATTATTACGCAAATGGTACATATACGTTTACCTATTTTATATCTCGCAAACATTCAGAAACCGAGCAATTATAATAACAGTTGTTGCATATGGCAAAGTTTGACGGCATGTACTAGAGGTTTTTGTCTAGTTTTTGTTCTTTCTGCTTTCGAAACACATGGTAGTATAAGGCTATTACAAAGGCTACCGCATACTCGGTGGACTTCGATGTTGAATAATTTTTATATTTTGAGCCCTTTCCAGACGACATTTAGTTCCTTAATACTTCACTCTTGTAGAAGCTCATCAGTGAAAACCAGCTAAGTCGATTGCAGCAGACATGATTTCAGACGGAGAAACATTTTTAGTCTAGAAAATCGATGCTCAGTAGTAAATTCTTTGTATTCTGAAGGCTATAACATAGAAGAAATTCATCGAAGTGTGATGACAATATTAGACAAAAAAGCCTCAAGCTAGAGCTTTACATTAATAGTGCAGACGTTTCAAGAACAGAGATTGGAGCACAGAGCCAGCAAGGAGGTAGCCGGATATCAGGGCCCAAAGAGCAAGAACGCATCACTGCAATCGAACAGGCTTTTTACGAAAGCAGAGCTTGAGGTCTAAGAGATCCGTCGCACAAAACTGGCATTTTTACGTCCATTGGACATTTTAATGTCTAATTCCAAGTGGAAAGGTGCTAGGCAAAAGAATAGCGGCGCCCTACAGAAAAAGTCCCAATTTAATGGCAGTATCGAATAGTTTCGGACGTAAGGTGACGATACAACCGGCAGTAGACGTTAGCGACATCTGGTACCGTAAGATACTCGTCGACAATAAAACCGTGTTTTCGAGTTCCTTAAGAGAGTCAAACTCTTGGCATAGTAATCGAATGCACAGTCTGATAACTCGATGACAGCGCCAAATCTGACCGTAGATGAAAGACGGTGTAAGGTCAACGAATGCGCCGTGCAGAACTAGTGTATTTGATCGCCCTGTGTGATAATTTTACAGCCCTTACGAAGCCCTTGATGATACGCCGACATCTAATTACAAATAAATCATCAACCGAAACCCTAGAAAATGGCCTAATAACACATGACGAATCATACGGCGGGAGATTTCTCGCAAGAAAATTTACTCAAAAAAAGTTTTCTTTTTTTTTTTTTTATATATACAAGATTATGCTCTGAATCGAACCATTATATAAAATTGTAAAATACAAAATGAAAATTTATTGAATGACTACGCACAATACCATCATATTTACAGTTGGTCGGTATCCTATCGTTGGATTGGTTTTTAATTGGGAATACACGAAGCTTCATAGGCTATTCGCGATGGAGACGCTCTGCTGATTAGGGGATTCTATCGACTTATGCACTCCGATTATTTAACCAAATATTCTTTGACGTCTTCCACAGTAACAACACAACATGATCGATGTTTTGATGCTATGGGACGCCTGTATTCTGAAAGGGTAGTTATTTCCAAAGTTTGCTTAAAATTTGCTCTTTATAGTTGCTCTTATTCTTCTCTGGAACCATGCGATATAATCTATGAACCATATAGCTTTATGAGGCATATCTATTGATAAAAAATTATATAGATTTTGTTCTCACCAACTAAACTTTTGCCCAAAATCTAAATTATAAAAGTATTAGAAGGGGGCAGTTACAGCGAATGCATCGATGCTTAAAAAAAACTGTTTGACTGCATCTAAATACGACACCCTACAATGCTACAATACAATACAAACTACAATGCGAATCTTTAGCCCTTCCGGAAAGGGACGATTCTACAAATCGCAGACCATCTGGAAGCGCTAGAAACAGTAGCATGTGCAGATATCCTAGTACTGATCGTCAAGGTCCAGACAGAAGATGACCTTAGCATAGAGCAAACGACGCCCCCAAACGGAAAACCAGTGAATAGAAGGACACCATTTTAGCTCAGTTGCCTAGAAAACAAAGGCACTGCGTCTCGCCGCTCGAAGGAGGGTCAGAAGAGTCAACCTCAATCTAGAAGTCCCAATCGGTATACGAAGGAAAGCAAGATATCTTGGAGTGACACTGTAGACTGTGAGAGGAAACAGGTCGAACAAGTAGTCGCGTAGGCGGAAAAATGGCCCTTAACTTTTCTCGACTTCTGTATAGAGTGGGAGCTCCTCACTTCCGTAGCGGAGCCTATAGCGCTCTACACCGCATTCATATGGACAAATATGCTGCTAAAGACAGGGCTTAACTGCAATGCTCTGTTAAATGCTCAAAGCATAGCAGCGATACACGTAGTAAGATCGTATAGTACTGGTTCGACTAAAGATTTGTTAGTTCTAGCCAGAATGATCTTATAGGACTTACTTGTTGGTGAAAGACCGGAACACCTTTTAAATGACGACATGGCCCCCGCAACCATAGGAACAGGTAACAACGTCGAGGCGCAGCTGCTAAGGCCAGCAGCGAAAATGAGATGTGGGGTAGGTGGACTCGACATCTCATTCCAGATGTTGAAGGATGGACCAACGAGGCATGCGCAAAGTATATGTACCACTCAGGTCTTGCCAGGCTATAGACGGTTTCAGACATGCACGGCGAAAATCCGCAAGGCTTGGGTTAAAGATTTGCGTGCTTTATATGTCAAAGGAGACCGATGGAGTGGAACATGCCGTGATTTATTGCCAAACACTAAACGGAGCGAGAAATAAGCCGGCATATTGAAACATTATAGCTAAGATAAACGTAAAGGAAATGGTAGAAATAATGACCGAAAATAAAAAGAATTAGAAGAAGATTACGGCCCTCCTTATCGACATCGTGCCTACAAAGGAAAAACCCGAATAGCTGTGTCGTACGCCACTAACGGAAGTGCAGGAGCGAGACTAACTTCCAGAAGAAGATGCACCTATACAGCCGGGTTCAATGGAAAAGTAGGGGTAAGACTCCGCTGGCGGCTTGGCGGTCCTGGCGAGAAGGAGCACTCGACGGGGAGAGCAACCCGACTAATGGAGCAATAGTACGCTAGCCATCTCCGCAAGCCTTTGATTTCGAAGTTATACTATACTTAATACCGAATCAATGCCCAAGATTTGCAGAGACAGGGTTATACGAGTTAAATAAGACTAGTCATCAAACCTGATCTACATGATGCTATTCGCTTTTAACTTCCTTAAAAAATATTTGATACCTTGTCTTAAATTCTGCGGAGTGTTGTTTTGGGCTGGCAAATAAGTATGATTAAGCTGCCTATATCAATTGTTTGGAACAAACTTACGTTCAAAGTCTAAAGACTAAAAAAAGACTTTAAACGAAACACTTCGGCACTCCTAAACCATATACTATCAAATACGTATTATTGGAACACGTTGATTAACCTGAAACATTATTAACTGTACGCATTTCTTGGCTATTGTGACAACCCCTCGAATTGTCAAGGCAACGCCGGGAAGTTAGAAAGTGCCACAATTTCTGAGATTAAAAACTCTGCTTTCAAGTTAGTAAGCCCTGCCAATTTATTTTGGGCTTTAAATTAATTCAATCATTTTAACTCAGTGGCTCGTATGTTTAAATTAGGCTTATGCAGTAGTATCTTGAAATCGGAATGCATTTGATTGAAAGAACAGAACAAATAAAAAACTACTAAAATACGCGAGTGGATATCACACGTTTATTTTTTCTTTATACTCATTTCATCTGCATTTGCATACAAACGTACAGAACTATGTACATACCCAATCATAATACTCAATAGATTTACTCCACCATATAAATAGGGGTCCACTAAAACTTATTCAGCGCGTCGTAGCTCCGGTGTTTGCTTACCTCGCTCAGTGACTATTTTTCTGTCTGTTTAATATATATATGGATTATATAAAGCTGGCGCAATGGCCCCGGCCGAAGATTGTACATCGTAGTCGGGGGTGCGTCGAGGTAAACATCAAACGCAATGGGCTGAGCTGTCGTAATTGTCAATTTGAAGACGCTTCTTTAGATGATAGTTAAATATATGCTGGTAGCTTCGATGCGTTCTATATGCCCATAACTGCATACAGAAGGTATATAGTTTGTGGAATCGGTAGTTGCTAGTCGTAATGAGAAGTCGTGAAGTGACAGAAACCTGTGGAACTTTCAAGCTATTTTTAAATTTCGTTTGGGCACAGAGGAGAACACTTAATATATGTAACGTTATTAGATCGGTCCACTGAAGTTATCATACAGATCAATAACTTGTGGCGTACAATCTTGGTCTAGGTTACTCTGGCTTGTGTTACAGACGGATAGTGGCTCAGCTGTACCTGGATTATTTTTGTCGGATTATAATGGCATTCAAACTTGATGTTTTTTTGACAGTAGGACTACAACGTACCCTCATTTATCATTTTCTATTTAATTGGCGGTACGATGTTAATTAATCATATCGTTAGTCAACTGAGTCTATAGTACAAACATACCTGAGCTGAAGCTTTACTATACTTACAATAGGCTATATAGATTTTTGCTAACTGCTTTTAATTGGTTCTAAATAATTAAATTAAATAATATAAATTTGCGCTTTTCCGTAGAATTATTAATACATACATGGTGAATAACTATGAGATGACACATTAAGCATAGACACCAAACTGATAGTCACTATGAGAGTTTCACGCGTAAAAATAGAATATCCCCTTTTGAGCAGTTTAACAACTGCACAGGATACAATATTCTTTTAACGCAGTTTGAGATAATTAGGTATGCAGGAAGGAAATGCTTCAAGATCACAACATCAAACGCGAGTACAACTTATATATATATATATCTATATATATGATCTCACACAGGAACCATACTTATTACACGAGCGACTTCCTTGATTCACTATCTAACTATTCATAATCGTTGCGCGACCTGGTGGAATCGATTTAAGACCCGTACGATTGGTCTTTAGTTGAATTGTACGACTCTCTAATCATTGCCACTGACATAAATGACTTTGCCTTCAACGCGATACCTCGCACAAGCCCCATCTAAAGCTGCTTGGTAAGTTTCAGAGTCGTAAATTTTCTACAGCAGTCAGACTAAAGGGCACCATTTCAGCACAATCACAAAGCGATTGTTTTGGAACACCCAAATAATCACTGGACTTTTTTTTCGCAGGTGAGATGCTAAACCACTCTGCCGTTCTTGAACAGTTAACTGGCATTCCAGGCTTAAAGGGAACCGCGTAATTTAACCAAGCCGATTCAATCATCCAACTGATAGCAATACCACAGAGATATCACAACTTTATACTCGGCAGAAATAAGTCTGCATAGATTTCGTGGCTAACCAAAGTGTTTGTCTGTCCCTGTTATTCTTAGGCACTCTCAGATCGTTTGTTTGTTCCACAGTTTCAGCACATTTTCATACCTAATCGGTACATTCATCTAGATTTTTCGTGTGCACCGCCTGCATCCTCAACTACTAATCATATATATATGCGATTCTATTCTGCGTACAATTCTCTCGTTACATTATATCTCGAGCTCGAGCGCGGTTATGATGATGGCTATAGATATATGAAACTATCCGATCACGAAACGTACGGAATCAACTCAATTATCAAATCATTTGTATGTTCTAGCGTAAAGTAATCTCTGCTTTATTGCTACCCCTGTTTTGTCGCTGTTCGTCGAATAACAATACGCATTATACCTTATTTCTAAAAATGGTATGCTTAGTATCAGAATTTAGGTCGATTTTTATTTGGGGTTGACGCACTAACGTAGTTCTTTGTATACTTTGTTCAGTGAAATTCACAACAATGCTGTAACATTTATCGCTCAGTTCCGCTAGTCGCGCCGTGGACATTGTACGATACGCATGCATCATACGACGGCATTGTCATAAAATCACGGAGCCAGACGTTCCTTCCACAGTTACGCTATACTCTACTAAATCTTTGCAATCATCAACAGTATATGTTTAATTATTATTATAGCAGAACTTAGGTACGGTCGCTCATTATAATTATATGACACGGTTACATGACCACGCTGGGCTATAATCGACTGCTTTGACCTATTATATTATTCAGTAAGTAAAAATATCACTTAGGTGTCGCAGGAGTGCTTACCCGCTTCCTGAAAGTTGATGGCCTGATTCGTGTGTCCTCTTGGCGGGTAAATGGCCGAACGGTGGATGACGGTTTCTCTCTGACTGAGGTACTCGTCGTTGACAACATTCATTTTAGGGCTTTTTTTGATGCTTTTTTCTTGTTTATACGCATTGACACATATACTCTATAAGAATAACTTCTTTTACCACGTTTTGTTTATGAGTGTGTGACGCCCTTTCGTGCGACAAGCATGTTGAGTACATTGTTGCGCTTTATATATTCGACCGCCTTGCGGTGGGTCACCATCGTGAAGTCATAGCCGTTAACCTGCAAAATCTTATCGTGTTCCTTTAAGCCGCAATGCTGCGCTGGTGAATTCTCATACACCTCCGTAACATAGACCCCCTGTAATAATAAGCGAAATAAATATGTTTCTAGGACCTTGTTAGTGAAACCCGCTATTCTGATCGTGACCGCTGACAATTGAAAATTTCTCTCGGCACAGTCACAATATGCTTTTCATTTGTAATAATTCACTCTCAGTTTTGTTCGTCGTGGCAACAATTTTTACTGCTAATTTACTTGTTAACTTTGAAGCACCGCAATCGTATGGCTCAGAATAAAGAAATATCTAGTTACGCATGAAAAACAAAACGGTACGTACGTTGTCTGTGTAACCTTGAGGACTCTTCGTATAGTCTTGGTCGATGCCACCACCGATCCGAAAACCGCAACGCGTTACTTCACGACCTTCAGCGTCGATCGTAACCTCCTTTGCCAGTCGAATTGGTATCTATTCGCATTAGGAATGAGGGTCGCGAAAATTGACATCAGCAACATATAAGAAAAAAGTAGAGATTACGTACGTGTTTGTTACTTAGTTATTCTCTATGCCTTTTTTTAGTTGCCACCTTTTTCTCATACAGAAAAACTAGCTATTAGCATTTAACACCAATAAAAAAGATTGATTCTGCTTACTGGCATATTGGCACACTGCCTAATATTTCCTGCGCATTCAAATTGTGAACAAAGAATTTTATGTTTTTCATACAGCCACTGGTACATTTTTCATATTTTTTTCAACTAAATAACTTTTTATTCTTGCAATTTCGTCAGATAAAATAACAGGATTATTGAAAAAACATGAGCTAGCTAAAACAATTATATCTGTCATTTTGCATGCGCGCGCTTATGTTCTAGTTCACTACTAAATAATTCACAGTATATTATTATGTAAGCTTTGGCTATGGCGTGAAAATATAGCCCTATAAGTTAACAATCACGGCTCATAACCAGTTGAGATTTCATACTGGGAATGTTATAAAATACTAAGAAACGGCTATGTATATTGGGAATTATCCTATCAACATCGTCGTATGAATTGAACTGGTCCTTACGCTAAGGCACTCCATAGCTGTTCCTGCTTCGTGGTTGAACGCCATCGCCACTATGATATTCCGGTTTCTTTCAAGTTTCTAGTGCAGCTTTTAAACAAAACTTTGAACTTATATTTAATGTACGCAGAGCACCTTCGGTTCAGAAGTTGCAATCGCAGAAGGGCCTTCGTACATAACAAGTTCGATTCCACTCGCTCACAGAATTACTAGTTGCTAAACACGACTAACGGATGGACGTTCATTAGGTTATTTCATGAACACGCGCAGAACCATCACACTACAGAAAACGGCCTAAAAATGAGCTCATCCTGGAGAGAGGGAATACCTCCAAGGAATCAGAGACAAATGTATATGAAACAGATAAAAGAGAGTATGCGCTGGCTGACCCCACCGTTCGGTGATTAGACCGCCTCCCTTGGTGAGTAAATGGCGGATAAGCGAACGCCCCACAATAACAAAGAAGAGGGAGCAGACATCGGTCGGCGATCCGGAAGCAAGGTCCCACACAGAAGCCAATAGACATATTTCGTAGGGTTCGTTTCTTTTAATATGCCCTTTTGTGAATTCTGTAGAATCGAAACGTTTAAAGAAAGATATATGACGACGACAAAAGTACAGCAACAGTTCGGATATATGCTTTGTATAAGTTCTAAATTTAAAAAAATATGAAATGTTTACTCCCGTATATACTTCGTGACAATTTTTTACAAGTCATAATTTTCTATACGACATGAAGTTTTTCAAAATTTCTAAAGGCTAGGTAATCAACGCTTATATATAATAAATGGATACATATGTGTAGTTAAGATTGTTCATTCAGGAGTGTCTTACTAACGTTGGTTGTAGTACTAGTGGAGAAGCGAATATCAAAAGTCAAAAAACAATTACATTAGTCATCCAAGGCTATCAAACAAAAACAACTTCTTCTAGGTGAACTTCGGTCTAAGAACCCAGATAAGTTTGCAGACAAATAAATTTAGATCTTGATAACTGCTCTATATATCCTGCAGTACCTTGAGTATTGTTAACCATTATTTCGCGCTTTGGCTAAATTTTCGAAACATTCCCCATTCAACGCAGTGTAGGATTTCTAGGTACTCGGATTCCGAAAGCGAGTCGTGTCTGGGAACGTTTAGATGGAGCAACTAGTTATTTTGATGTACATAAGAGGTGAGCAACTAGGTGAGAGCGTTCAGCTACCAAGATCGTAAGTGGAAAGAGTGAGCTGCCGCGAGCTTCGTTAGAGGTGGGTGCTCGCCCGAGGTCGGTATCAGCGGGAGATGCTTTCCGGTCAGATATTCAGATGACTGCAAACTGCGATTGACTGTGTGGTAGTTTATTATCTGCACCGAGTCGTTGGTCATCGCTCGAAAAACAATATGTACTTTCACATAGGTGAGTACCTCCTCTACAAAAAACAAAAAAAAGCTCTCCAATGAGCGCGAACGCCGGACAGGGGAACACCGAAGTCTTATGGTAGCACAGAAATGACAGTGAGTAGGGTTTTCCTGATGAAGTTTGTCAAGCTCTCGGCCTGTGGATATGAGTCAATACATCTTAACGGCAAATTTAAATATGCTGAAATACGCTAAGACAAAGGTAAATTCCCGTAAAAATTAGAAAAGGTTATATGTAATGGTTCGAATTGTACAGATTGTTTATATACGTTCCAAATGTGGATTCTCAAACTGGGGCACTCCAAGGAAAAATCAAGTCGAAATTTTGTAACGTTATTAGCTTCCGAATCGCCCACGCGTATATCTTTGCTGAGACAGAGAGAGAGACATTCGACAGAATTAGAAGGATGTAAATTATATAAAGGACAAATACAAATAACCCGCATATCAATTTTCTTATGCAACATGAAGCTACGATCAATATAAATCACAAATATAACAACAACTGACTAAACGTATAAATAAATGTTTCGGATTTCCCGTCGTACACTGTCGTTAGGCGTCGCTTTAGACGACTAGCTCTCAATATGAAACGAAGTGTATCCATACTCGGTTTTTACATTAAGCCACGACGAGTCCCTGAGTTTGGTCAGCAAACATCCTACCACTCAATGAATGCTACATCATGTAATATAGCAAACGCCGTAGCCTAATATTAGCTCTCATGTTTTGCGGTCTCGTTACAGGTGTAGTTAGTGCTCTCTTATCGGCCTCCCTTGGTCGGGTGATTGAACTAAGCGATAGGTTTCTAGAAATCAAGAATCGCGAAGTATGGCTAATCAAGGTAAGTTTTTTGCTGAGTATTTAACTTCTAATCCTTTTTTTTTAATTTGTAATTAACATGATTGAGATTTGTACGAAACAAGCTCTGAAAGAGTACAGATTAGTTCTGCTTTTGTGCCTCTAGCGATAGCTATAACTAGTTTATTTAATGCAATGAAAAAAGTTTCGAAATTCTATCTGCATTCAGTATTTATTCATAGCTAATTTGCTAATTAACTTCCCTTTTGTGCTGTGCAATGTGCTACAATCTTTGAAATCTTTGCGCATGCTTCTTCTAGTTTTACGCGCCGTGGTGCGGGCATTGTAAGCAGTTGGAGCCAGTGTGGAGCCAGGTGTCTCAACGTCTTGTGGATACGGATATTCGAGTATCTCGACTCGATTGTACCAAGTATACAAGCATTGCCCAACAATTCCGGGTTTCTGGATTCCCAACTATAATGTAGTAAGTGATCATGTATGCACACGGTCGTAAAATACGATGCAAGGCAAGCGTGGCGCTGGAAACATTTCTTTTCAACGCTGAGTTATCAATTTTCTGCCGAACTGCACTACTGTTTCGGTAGCTTGTTTATTTCTTGTTAATTCGAAATATTTGTAAAGTTGTCTTTTTTTTTCATTTGCGATCTCAACAATAAAATATACAAATCATAATTTTCTAGGTCAGAAAAAAATTTCAAAATTATATATATATATATATATATATATATATATATATATAATTTTGAATTTTTTTTATTATTTATTATATTTTTATTATATTTATAACCATAAAAATAACCGCATTTATTCACCCAGTGCGTTAAAATAAAATGAGCTACATAAAAATGGTAGAAATCGAGGTACTGTTTCAGCAGCGCATCATAACTTATGTACTACTTAGAACTAATTCAACGTAGAGTATTCTCCATGGCTAACCCTGCCGACACTTTTGTTGCATTTGTCAACTTGTTCGCTTGTTATTTTCTAGTATAAATAAGGATAAACAGGTTGAGTACCGGGGAGAGCGAACGATTACTGATATTTTGGATTTCGCGCGTCGTGTACATGGTCCTTCCGTGCGAAAGTTAACTACATGTGAAAATATGCGCAATGTCCTACAGGCTCAGCCTGCTGTGTTCGTGTTAGCTGCGCATCCCGAGGGGCACGTTGGAGCCGAAGAGGTTGTGAAGAACTTTTCGGATCATGCCGACCATATGCACGCGCATAACTATTTTATTCAAGTTCCGCTAAGTTGCATCGATGAGTCGAAACGGACTAGTACAGTGTACGTTCATAAGGATAACAGCTTTCACGAATTTGATGGTCAGTTCGCTTCTTAATCGAATTAGAAACCGTATGGTTTATTCACAACTGATAATGAATTTCAGTCAAATAAACAATCGCACTAATAATAATGGCTGCAAGAACAGCTATCTAGTCGATTAACTATTAGCAAATTTGTTTTTCCAGCTTACTAAAATGTTTGAGCAACTGAAGGATTAGGGATATATAGGCTAATTAGGACATCGATGACAAGAGATAGAAAAATTAGTATATGAAGTGGCCCTTCGTATATCGCCGTTGTAGAAAGGCAACAGGAATCGTTCATATCACCACGTTTGTAGCATTTATCTCAAACCAGTTTGCAGAATCGTATATTTCATAGAAAATTATCGTCTGTTAGAAGAGATCACAGTATATTGATATAATAAATAACTAAAAACTATTATCACTGCTTTGAACACGTTTCTCGATAACTGCAGCTAAAGTTGGCTGCACAAGAAGTTCGCGTAAACCTGTTCCGCGTAAAATATCTTCAAAGATCTTAATTAACTCAAGGTTTTTAGCCGATAACGGGTTAAGTTATTAATTGCTCACCATTTATTGTACTCGATCAGTATAGATTCCCGATTTGGCACTGTGGAACAGTGGATCCTCTCTGAACGGTTCCCGGCTTTCCAGCGAGTGACGCATGGTAACTTCAATCAATTGCTCGGCACGCGGAAATTGCTTGTTGCCGCTGTACTTGAAGAGAATCAAATTGGGAAACTTGAAACACTTCGAATGGCTGATGTTAAGGATATGCTTGAAGCTCTGGCTGTCAATACACAGAACCTTTATCATGAGTAAGTATCCATCTTTATGGGCTAAAAATAACTTTGCTAATGCAAGACTACCTTGCGAAGACACGGAGATAATTTAGGTCTGAATCTGGGGGCCATAGGCACACATTTTGATGCTCCGGTAAAGATCCAAATAGCGATGGGCAAGGCAACGTTGGTAAAAATCTATTCGTCTCTTTAATCTAGTCTAAACGTTCACACTGAACCTCTTTGACTTGGACAAATCTTTGAAATTTATTTAGAACGACAATATAAAGGCCTGTCGCTGAAAAGACAGCTAAATATCGTCAGCTATGAAAACGTTTTGATCAATACTTTTTTAATATAATAATTCTTAATACAATAATTTGAACAAGTTACGCGCGAAAACGATTGTTTAATACCGGCTGGAAAGCCAAACTGCTGTATATCTGCAACGTCGAATATAAAACATGTATCGTTATTGAATTCACTTTATTCAGTAGCAATAGCAGATTCTTCAGTTACAAGACAGTCGTTATGTTTCTATCTGAGCGCGTTCAATATTTCTAGAATGAGAGGTTAAGAAAAATATATGTCGACTCATATGACAGCTGATTAATGCACCGAAATCGAAGCAGTTTCTCTTATGAGTGTCATTATTCTGTCGTATGGGCTCCGTTTTGAACCTTTAGAAAATTTTTGTTCGGTTGGTTTCCATCAACGGATATTCCATACTCGATCGCTATGACGGAGCTGCCTCTTCCTTCAGTGATGGTGATTGACCCCCATACGTACCGCTATTTTTTGCCGGAAAACGCTGAAGATCCCCAGGCGATTATCCGTCTACTCGATGACATTTTAAAGAATGACCCTGAGCCTTCTAGCTATGGTGGCAACACTTTCTTCTATCGCATATACAGGTACGACTCAATATTCGAAGTCTTTTCTAATTCAAAAGAAAAATACCTACAAATATTATTTTTCTTTGTTAATGTTATACGGTCGCTTGCATGTGTCGTGAACTTTTATAAATGAAAACATAGTTATGCAATCAGTATGCTACACGTTGACTACTCCCAATAAGTAAAATGAACTAGCAGCTTATCCTCTACGAAATGAATTGGCAACATAATACATACCACGGAAAAAAACGTAAGCTAGCGCCAATTACAACATCGTATGTTATTAAAAAACATAGGAGAAGTGGTGGTTCAAATCATGTTCCTAACTATCTCTACTAGCTATCTGCTAGCTGTAAAGGTAACACCCGTTAGTGAGACTTCTCTCAAAAAAAAAATAGTCCATCTAAAAGCTAACCGTTCTAAATGGAGGAGTCACCACTGGATGTGTTTGTATTGTTTATATATTTTTGGCGTAGGTCATACTTTGAGATGAGGCAAAACTTGAAGAACATGTACCGGTCATCACCCGTCTTGACGGTCATCATCTTTCTCGTCCCAATGGGTTTCTTCTCAGCTATTGTGTACCTGACATGTTGTGCCGACCTGTTCGATGCGCCTGGTGACGCTGAAGATCTCGATGAGGACGATGAACACGAAAAAAACGATTAGCCCTCCCGGCACCGGTTCCCGCGTCCCGGATCTTGTCCTGTCTTACTAATCATCCATTGCCCACCAGCGTCAGAGGACGGTGGCGAACCAAACGAATGTCAACAAAATATTGACATCAGACATTGTTCATGTCTGCCCCGCAGATACTTTTTGCTTAACAATAACAACAGTAACAGCAGTAACCACAGTGCTAACGACAGTTTAGCTGCCCGGCCCATTTTGATGACATTTGACTTTGAAGCCGAATCAGTAGGGGCTTATTAAACATGGCTACCAGCGGTCTGGTATCATAATTACAGCGAACGCCGTAGCGCAAGAGCTGTGCAATCTAATCCTCGTCCAGAATACATTTAAGGACGGATCCATTTAAGTATCAACAGACGAAGATAAGGGATTCAATTAGTATTAAGTATATCACATCAATTTATGCGAACCTGTACTTACAGACACACACAGACGTATTTAGACACACACACAGAAGCACAGAAAATATATACCGAATAGAACCAGAACAGCCAGTTAAGAAGAAATACATAAGGAAGGTATTACAATGGTACGCATTCTACGATGTGCATGTAAAGTATTAGACAAAATTACATACGGTTGGGGTACACGGGAGCGAATAAATTATGTGACACTTGCTATTTTTAATTATGATGTTAATTACCATTAATAGCAACAGTATCTGTATGCTATGGAATAATTTTTCACATTAACCGGGCTAATGTTCCACGTAGTCAAAACTTTATTAATTAAATTAGTCATGTCTATATGGTTACCTAACACTAAAAATTCATATGTATTTTTCCTTTGGCGGGTTGTATGTTTCTGCCGGCCTAATATTTTTGTTCGGAATTTCTTATTCAGGATAGCTGACTGATTTGTTTGTTTAGCTAGATGTTTCACGTAACTGTGTGCTTTAGCTTGTAGTTTAGAAAAATGTAAATTTGAGGAGCGCCACTGTTTTCCTTTGTCTATTTGTATGAACATTAGTATTTGGATGATCGACAAAACAGCGGAAGCGTGAAAATAAATAAGGCTTCGGTTTGCATTGCTTCTTTGTTAGGGGTTGCTGCTGCTAAATGCACCTCCTAACTGCTGTACGCCAATCCACTACACACTATGAAAACCCATGATACTGCATAAAAGTAATCCGGGAGCTCGTTGCGCATGACATAAAGTGAGAACAATGACCGCCAGTATTCGCCATTAAGCGGTTGTCGCAATGTACGTAAACGTGACGCCGTTTCTTCTGGCATAGAGAATATCCTTCCCACAGACTTGCCAGCCATAAAATAATAATGAGTTGTATAACAAGAGTTTATTGTATAGTAGGTCACTTCCAATAACATGTAATTATAAAGGGCACAGTTTTGCTAATAAAAATAATTAGATAATTATCTCTGGAGCATGTTGAAAAGTTCTTTCGTCGCTTGCTTCGTTCATAATTCAACTGCAAAGGATTGGCATCGGGGACGAATAACGGAGAAATATATAATAATAATAAATAATGTCTTGGTATCAAATTGAGAGACTAACATGATGTATTTAAAAATTAGTAGGAATTTCAACTCTGCAGATCTGTAGGCTTAATTAAACCGCAATCATCTTACTTACATCTGAGACTAATAACTTATTTTTCTACTGTCTAATAAAAGGGCACTATCCCTTAAAGTGACCATAGTCTGGCTTAATCAAAACAAAGATAAGTCCTTCGTATTTGCGGTTTCACATTTATTAATACCCGACCATACAATGTCACCGATAGGTAATTCTGAATAGAGTGAGCAAGACTGATTGTGACAAGAATAATAATAATGTAAATTGGAATTTTTGCATTCGATCCCTCATAAACGCCTCTTCTACAAATATCACCGCCATTATGTTAACATGTGTTCGAGCAGAAAAAGGTGTAAGGAAACAGTAATGAAAAAAGTAATGATAATAATGAGTTCTCGATAATAATACAAATTATCAGCTTTATTTATTATAATACAGTAATTGCAATCTCAGATACGTTCGACCTAGACAAGTCGCCGAGCAAGACAACGAGCGATATTCTCATTAACCGGCAATACGGTTCATATACAATTCGATGCCTTAGTACTATTTTACTTACATATCCGCTGACATTTCTGCACTTTCTCGATTTCCGTTCACGCTTTCCGTACCTATTGCTCGTTAATGTGTCAGTTGGGTGTAACGATAGGGATAAACTAGGTAATAATAATAACCAGAACAATAATAATTTGTATTATTATTATTCTATCAAGAGGAGTAGTTGAATGAAAAGTAATCCGCTTTACGAAGCACAGAAAGGGATAAAGCAGCAAATGTTCCCTTTTCTGTAATTTCTTGTTTTCTATTTTCGCGAAGTTCAACAATATTTATTTCTCAGCATTTACGAATGATAATATATATATATACACAACTTCACTCATCTACTGATGGAGTAATACCGCGGTCTTTTAAATTCACCTACATCTGTTCACCTACACCCTGTGCATCTTTAGTATATCTATCTATTTGTGTGCACATAATCACATTTCGCGCTTTCTTTGTCTTTACGGTACGTATTACCGTAGTTAAGCCGGTCCTTGGTCTATAATTGAAATCTACAAGTTTCCTTATTTTTTTTTCGATTTCCTTAAAGAAGTCAGATACTTCTATAGTCTTAGATCATCATGCAGGTAGCTACAACCAGAAAAGATACTCAGCTATTTACCATCATTTTTTCTTAACGAATTTGTCCACTTCTGCTTTTTTTGAAGTTTTTAGATTTCATTGGTTTGAACCGAGCGCCTAATCCATAAATGACAGAACCGCACTAAATTGTTGGCATTCCCGTCAATGGTAATAACTCTCTAGGTTAGGCGAAGAAATATAGCACACGGTCACGCACGAACCTTATGGGCCGTAGCTAGAATTGGCGTGTGCGATCACTTCCTGTTATAAAGCTACGCTTGCAGTTTTCTACGCAGTTGTTACAGTGTATCTATCATTCACATATATTTTACTTGTGATACTTAGGATATGCCAATGAAGATAACAGCATACATTAATGTAATTAGTGCGTTTATCATTATAGCAGTGTTTGTTTACGCATCAGCTGACGACATATTTCGTCTTACTATTGCGCATGCCTGTTCGCAGCCAGAACCCGCTAAAGTTCGCATGCGAAATGTTAGATTTAAACCGGAGCTTTCTCGTTCTTCGAACCATAATTAACAAAGAGAATGACGTTCAGCCATAGAAGCACAATTAGCCAAAGATCCGCGTACGATCACAGCGAATGTCTGCCAGTAAATGAGAATCCCGTTGGTTCTAACGTTTTAAGGTAATCGAAGGTAATTGTTTTTTTTCAGAAGTCAATTACCCAGGGATTTTCAGCGACAAACGTGTCCACAACCTCTTTCATGGCGAGATTTGGCACGAGTTGATCCTAAAACGTTAATATATACGTTACGTAACAGGAAGGATACGGATAAGAGATTGCGTTACAATGGGATTTATTAAACTAATAGAAACTTATAGAAATAGAAATAACTAAACTGCGTTAAAAAGGTTTATCATTGTAAGCTTCGTCTACTTCTGTACAATTTAATTGGCTGTAACGTTTCTTCTAATTAACTGCTGATCTACCAAAGAAATTTTACATATTGAAATTACGTCAAAGCTCCATTAACTCGATTTCCATGAGCATTTTAATGAATAATGTTAAACTACGGGGCCATCTGAACATAGGACAAGAATATAAAGTTTCGTAATTTTTAACGAAGAATTTCACTTGCGTTTTGTAATTTTTAGTGGTAACAATGTTTAATGGTATAATTAAGTTTGACGACTATAATACGTTTCGCTAAGAAAATTCACGACAATGCAGTTTCATACCTGGGTCAGAGGCGTTCTGGTGACAGGATCAAAATGCCCGACGCGCTGCAGGTGCTCTTCGATGTCTCTGCGGTCGTAGGTAATACCTGAGGGTGTGATGACAGGTTCTGTCATTATTTCGAACGAGATCTTCCCGCATAAGAAGTCTGGCACTTCACGTTTACGTCGCCGTTCGTCCAAAGCGGCAAAAAGAGCATTCACCTCCGACAGGTAGGACTCATGTCGTTCCGTAATCTCTGACAACTCAGTCGCTAAACAACGGGAAAGGTAGTGACATATAAATACAAAACGAGTCGTTAATCTTTAAACTTTTAAAAACATTACAGCGCTAAATATTTGCTATTCCTACATGTAAATATAACCAATACAGCATTCGTCTTACAAGAGTCTTGGGAACTCATAGTACTGCGTTCCAGATATAAATAAATGCATTGATTCTCTGAGCCACTATATGAGATCGGATGGCGTCGTGTATTTACGTGTTGCATTTGATTTTTCCGCGTCCGCTTGTTTACGCGCACAATCCGCGAGTATGAGCTGATTGATATAACTTTGTAGTTCGATTTCCTGGGCCACGCGTTTCTCCTCGTGGAGATTCCAACGGCGTTTCCGAGCGATTCGCAGCTGGACAGCAATATCGTCGCCAAAATTTAATTTCTGCTCTTTAGCCAGTTCTTGAGCTCTTTGGAGATGCAAAATAGCCTCATCTAACGAATCCAGTTCAACTAGAGCTTGACCTGAAATACAGATCATAATAACACTTATTCACAAATCTCTATGATAGATTTATGTGCTCTAATATTGTACGACTGACAGGAATGATCTGGTATATTAACAAAATACTCTAGAAGCTTAAGATCTCAAGCTATCAAAGTTTTTCTTATCAAAAACGGTGTGTAAATTTGAGCGGTATTTCACTTGCGTTCAAATTATATGTAAATAAATGCTCTAGACATGGTCATAATGAAAGAGACCGCGAACTTTTAAAATTTTGAAGGAGTATCTACTTATCGGAAGGTACAACAAGGGAGTTGAGCAGAAGCTGAGCAAATAGAGCACCGACGATCTGCTATTAAAACGACGTGCCTAATGCATGTGTATGCAACGAAGCGCACCCAAGTAGGTTTGACCTTAGAATCCTCCAAGATCAATACATTAGGTTTGTTGTGGTTCTTTTGGCCAAACGAATGGAAAATATAACCGTAAAATTACACTTTAAGATTTCGAAACAAGAACTGCGCTCTGCTAATAGATTGGTCTCGAAATATCTTTTTCGTGCTCGCAAAAATTCGGCGGAAGCTCCGCTGATTAAAGTTATATTCATATTGAATGTTTACTAATAAAGTTTCTATTCTACTATCTAAACAAACGTTCTATTACTAATAATAGAACGAATATATATA